TAACACTGAGTCACTAACACACATCCTTTAACGTTTTCACCAATGTTGTTGTTAGGTGCCAGCTAGAAGGTTCCAACTCATACCAAGCCTATGTACAACAGAATGAAACACTGCCTGGCTATGTTCCAGCTTCATAATCCTTGCTTTGTTTATTTGCATTGTTGTTGTAACTGTGTCAATGCATCTTGTTGAAGTTCTTCCTCTTTTTGTACTGACCTACTAGTTTACTAAGTAAGCTTGGTGTCCTTTTCCAGGCACTGGTTCATCCTGATAACTTGTCCATAGTAAGTGAGAAAAGTTCCACCCTCCTTACGTCTAAGGAGCATTCTGACTCTTTCTTTCAAGACAGATGCAATCTTCACTATCCATCAGTTTATAGATGTGTATAGGATTGATTTCTTGTGAGACACTTGTAGTTTCCAGAATGAATACCAGAGACATTCAGAGAGTCTTCTGGGCTTCAGTTTTTTCAGCTGCAACATGTATTAAAATTGGGTGGATAAAATCATTGAGGATGTTTTGATAAAATTGCATCATGTTAGGCCTTTGCTAAATGTGAGACTGCTGTGAGCCCAGAGATAGATGATTGTACTGGAGATCCTTAGCTTAAGCCTTTCTCTGCTCCTAAGACTTTGGTTGATCTTGTTAAGTACTGTCAAGTCATTTCGGACTCATAGTGACTCTGTATAGGATTTGCATGGATCGACTGGTGAATCTGAACCACAGACCTTGTGGTTGAAACGACTCTGCAGTCCAGCGCATTATCCCACAGCACTACGCCAAGACTTTGGAGACCCTCCCAAGTCCCCAGCCCTGAGATTAACAGAGGCACAGACTAGGTCCAGGGTTCGCTACATTGATTTATTGGAAACTCAGATGAAGACAGGGATGGAATAACAAGGTAGAGGAAAGATGTAGTGACTAGAGGGCTCTGCCCATTCTTAGCTCAGGATTGGGTCATGGGCCTCTTCCTACCTGCCCCTAAATGCCCCTCCTGGGGGTACCCAGAGGCTTTTCTTTGGGGTATTCTTTCCCAGTGTAGGGCAGCAGAGCCAAAGAGCAGGGGATGACACAGAAAAGAGAGGCGGGGCATGGAACTGAAGAGGGATTAAAGTGCAATATAAGTAGTTGAGAACTTGCTCCAGTCCCAGGGGCATGGTGGGGCTGGCTTGAAGAGATGCTTTGTACCCTGGGTTTGTATTGGGGCACCTAACACTTCCGGCAGCTGCTGGCATATGAGCTCACAGCACAGGAGCTTACACCGCAAGTGCGCAGGCTACTAGAGGTGAAGGAATTGGAAGGACCACAGGGGGCGCATCTCCCAGTGCTCACGGCTAGGTTCCCGGTGCTGGGGGCACTGCTGACGCAGCCGGTCACTGGCCTGGATCCCGACACACTGAGGTCCCCACAGACAATTCCACCCCGGGAGCTGCTAACACCTGCAAATCCAAAAGTCTGAGTAAAGTATTGGGGAACAGATAATCCCGTGTCTCAAACGATTGCCCCTC